TCATTGTAAGAGTAGGTAATAAAGGTTTTTTTAATGGAAACATAAATGAACCAAAGCTACATTTGTCAACAAGGATGAATTCCAAAAATATAACAATGAGAGGAAAAGCAAGTTGCTGACGGTTACACAGAATACGATACTCCTCATTTTAAGTTTAAAAGACATACAAAACAATATATTGTTTCAGTGATTTATACACACACACACACATACATATATATAATAAAAATAGAAAGAAATTTTCAAATCACGCACACCAAATTCAGGATGACAGTAAGCTCCAGGGTTAGGAGGGAGGGTAATAGTACAGAAAAGGGGATGTAAGAAGCTTTCACTCTAGCTGGGCTGTTTTTACTTCTTATACTGAGTAGCAGGTGCACAGTTATTTGTTGGGTAATTCTCTAGTTTTACATGACTGAAATATTTTATTATAAAAGAGTCAACAAATAATCATTATGCAAACATCCTTCTTTTAACCAGGCAATGGTTTGGCTCTGGTACTTCCTATATCTGCCGACATTCATTCCCTTTTAGAAAAAAAGAACACTATCTCAAACACATATATAATTCTAGTTATTGTTTTAGTATGCTAGCCTCTGTCTCCCTAAAGCATATGTTACAAAATGATATGATCTAAAGATGCAAAAGTAGAAAATTATTTCATTTACATTTTTAAAATAGTTCTGGCTAATAGTCTAGCAATGGAAAAAAGTTCACAAGAATTTTGTCTTTTACCTATAGTTTTCCTTAATGATTAAATAGTTACTTAGTTACAAAGAAGTAGAAGAAAACCTTTAGCAATGACTTCTCCCCAAAGGTGAGGTCATGCACAAAGATTTAAAAAATACTCCCTACTTCTCACAGCTTTGTTTTACTTCTTTTCCTCAATCAAAGCTGCTTAAACAATCAGACATTACTTACTGGCTTTTTCTTATTCAATGATTTACCCTGATACAAAATCAATAGTGTTTTATAATTATTCCCCATAATGTCCAAACATTATCATAAAAATGAAAAACAATTAAAATGATGACTTGAAATAAGCACAGCATTCCCAGAGACTAAGACACCATCCTAAAAGATAGGCAACTCCTGAGCTCAAGCGATCATCCGGCCTCAGCCTCCCAGAGTGCTAGGATTACAGGTGTGAGCCACTGTGCCCAGCCTAGGTGTTATATTTCAAATCTTTTCTTACCCAAATAAAAACCGAAGTGTAAAAACATTTGCATTGGAATATAAGCTCCATGAGGACAAAGATTTGTATTCACTGCTGTAACTTCAACACCCAGGACAGTATCCGACACACAACAGAAACTCAAAAATGTGTCAAACACAAACCTGATTCCCACCACACTCTATGCCTTCTAGCAAAATGCTGGCCTTCAAATACAGATGAAATACTTCACAACCTGGAAAACCAAAAACCAATCACTCCAACATTTGTAGCCCTTTGTCTTGAAATATTAAACAAAAAACATTTATCTGTTCTTAGACATTCATATTTTCTTCTCCTAGTTTCAAAGTGTTTTTCATTCTACCATTTTCCACCAAGCACTAGAATCCTGCTTTTAAAATAAATCACCACATGAAAGTACTCTATAAAGAGATCAAAAGACCTTTCAAAACAGGCTATTATGATATATTAAAATATAACTCAAGATGACAAATAAATACATGAAGAGATGCTCAACATCATATGTTATCAGGGAACTGCAAATTAAAACAACGAGATATCACTATACACATATTAGAATGATCAAAATCCAAAACATGGACAATAACAAATGCTGGTGAAAAGATGGAGGAACAGGAGCTCTCATTCATTGCTGGTAGGAATGCAAAATGGTAAAGCCAGTTGGAAGATGGTTTGGCAGTTTCTTTCAACACTAGACATACTCTTACCATATAATCTAGCAATCATGCTTCTTGCTATTTACCCAAAATGAGTTAGAAGCTTATGTCCACACAAAAACCTGCATACAGATGTTTATAATAGTGTTATCCATAATTCCCAAAACTTGGAAGCAACCAAGATGTCCTTTAGTAGGTGAATGGATAAATAAATTGTGGTACATCCACACAATGGAATATTATTCAGCACTAAAAAACATATGAGCCACCAAACCATAAAAAGGCACAGAGGAATTTTAAATGCATATTACTAACTGAAAGAAGCCAATCTGAAAAGGCTACATACCATATGACTCCACCAATATGATATTCTGAAAAAGGCAAAACTATGGAGACAGTAAAAACATCAGTGGTTGCCAGGGGTTAGGAAAGGGAGGGATGAATTGGTGGAGCACAGATTTTTAGGGCAATGAAACAATTCTGTGTGATACTATAATGGTGGGTACATGTCATTATACATTTGTCCAAACCCATAGAACATACAGTTCACCAACAGTGAACCCTAATACAAACTATAGACTTTGAGCAATAACGATGGTCAATGTAGGTTCATCAATTGTAACAACTGGACCACTCTGATGCAAGATGTTGATAGTAGAGGAGGCTATATGTAGTGGGGGAGGGTATATGAAGTTCTCTGTACTGTCTGCTCAATTTTGCTATAAATCTAAAACTCCTCTGAAAAAACAGTCAATTAAAAATACGTATAGATTTTATATATATACCATATATTCACATATATATATATATCAACTGGAAAAAACTCTCAAGATAACTCTGTAGGCTTACTTCCATAACAAAGTAACAGGTGTAGTGGTTTATTTTCACTCCAAGGAGCAGATAGAATTACATATTTTTATAGAACATTTACTCCTGGTAAGATGGTAAGATTCTCACCCTTACTGGAACATTATGGTAATCTTAATTGTATGCTTATTAAGAAGAAAACCAGGCTGTTACCATAGAAACTACCAGGGTCAGTTAGTGCCTCCATGATTTGAGCAGTTATACCTGTTAGGCCACTTAAATCTAAACGTACAGGTTCCTGTTTAACAGGGAAAAGGTAAAAACGTCTACATTTGTTTTAAAAAATGGCTAATACATGGAAGGGGTGACGCAAATTGAGGTGAATGGAGCACACACACACGCCATCAAAGTGGTGGGTAAAAATTAGATGGCTGCCAGTTGCTGACTTTGACTCTCTTAGGATTACGTTTCCCTGTCCAGGATGCCTTCAATGTTCATTTTCACCTGTACCAAGAATATCGGGTTACTGTAATTTTATTAGGTTAAAGGGGAAGGATGTGCTTTGTTCTGCTGAGCTGAATAAGGGAGCTTAAAGCTCTGAGAGATTTACTCCAAGCAATCTTCTAGGGACATCCCCTTTGCCAGCATCTGAAGCAGTCTTTTGCAAGCAGTTTTCAACTGGACTTCAAACATATAATCTCATTTATGCAAAGGCACTGTGCCTTGGGTTCTTTTTAAATCATGCGTACCTCACAAAAGTGTGGGCTCTAACAGCAGGAAAGCCCCCTCCCAATTCCTGAGGAGGCATCGACCAACATATTCAGATTTATAAATAATATGCCCACCTCCTCTTATCACATCCGACGTATTACTGACAACAAAATAAACCTTAACAGGTACCCTGCTGTCACTTACTTGCTGCATCACCTCAGTCACTTAATTATTTGTTTTTCAACTGGGAAGTAGCTACAGCATTTAATAAATTCATTATGCTCAGGAGTATTCTGTGGGCCTCATGTAATAGTCATGATTTGTGTTCTAGGACGCATTCTCTTTACCTGGTCCAGCTCAAATGCTCATCAGCAGTGGTAGAACTGCCTACATATCAAGGACATCTTTGGGGACAAACAGCCATACTAAGTTCCATGAGTGCTAGTTATATTTTCAGAAATCCTAAATTTGAAAAGTTCAAAGATTACAGAGTGGCCAAAGTTCTGTTCACAAACATATAGGCATATGCATGCTCCAGCAGTATAAGACACAGCCTTAAGTGATAAAAAAAAAAAAAACCTACAAACACAATGACATGGCAAGTGAACCATAAAACCCTCATTCCTTTGGAACTAGATTTTAAAATACCACTCACCACTCTAAACATTCAATTGGTGCTAATAACTTTCATACTATTGCTTTTTAAGAAAAGCTTCATTTCACATTTTGGGCCTTATATTAACAATTTTATCACCATTAAGTGCTGGTGACATTAAATGACAAAGGACTTAACAAGTAGTCTTTTTTCAAGCCCCAAGGAAAGCATGAAACAAAAACCTCTACTGTGGATCATCTCCTTGTCTTTTGCCAGGTATAGAGCAGCCCAAAGGAGGCAGCTATGATACCCCTTACTTTCCAATTCTACTTCAAGTCCAAGTACTGATAAAATGGGAAACTATGGCTGTCCTCCATGGTGGACTTCTGAGGTCCACCTCCAGCCCCAGATGGAAACTTAGCTTTGACTTGAAAATGTCCTCTTGCAGTCCTGTGTCCCTGCTCTGCAACTTGTCATTAAGGTTTTCCAGTTTAACATTAATATTCAGAAATATATTATTGGGCAAATATATATATAGTACATACGTATATATCACAAATATATAGAAAGGACAGCATTCAGTTCTGGGCCCCAAGCCATAGGGCCCACACCCTTCAAGTTCAAATCCCAGCAAGGCACCATGAGCACCCACTCAGGAGAGGGAGGGGCAGGAGTGGTGAGCAGAGGTTAAACCAGACACCAGCCAAAATAAACACCACTTCCAGAACAGGGCAAACTTTGGGTCTGGGCGGCTAAAGAACCCCAGAAATGGCCAGGGGAGGAGAAGGAGTGTCAGATTGTCTCAGGGAAGGAAGACCGGGAGCGCACCCAGCACTGGGAAAGGAGCTCAGCTGCGGAGGCTGGTGTGCCCGGGGGACAAGGGCGTCGCCGCCATCCCCGACTGCAGAGCCCCCTCTCTGCGAGTTGGACCAGGCCTCTAGGTCCCTAGGGGCAGCCCTGTCGCCCCATTCACAACCTCCGTCCCCACAGACACTGTCTCCACAGACCAGCAGAGACAGGGGGCGCGAGGACCTACCTGGTGCAGCGTCTCGGCGGGCAGCTGCGACGCCCGGAACAGGTCGGCCACCGGGCCGGCGGCCGCGGTGGCCGTGCCGGGCGCGACCCTGGTGGCGTCAGGGGGCACGGGCCCGGGACCCCCGCCCGCGGCGCCGGCGCAGCGCGCGAAGAGCTCGGAGTAGCACTGCTGCTCGCCCTCGCTCAGCAGCAGCGGCGGCGGCCCAGAGCCGCAGCCCCCGCCCGCGGCCGCCTCCATGAAGCCTGCAAGGGGGCCCGGTGGTGCACCCTCCCTGGCTGGGGTGCCGCTGGCTCCTCGAAGGCCACCGCCTCCTCGGCCTCGGCCGCAGCCGCCGCCGCCCCCACGCCCCGCAGCTGCCGCGCGGGCGCTTCCTCCCGGCGCGCGCCAGCCCCGCCCCCGGGCTTGAATGTTGTGCCTCGGCTGCGCGGCACATGGAGACAGGCGCGGCGCGGCCCAATCGCAGCCCGGGATCCCACCCCGACCCCGCCCTCGCCGCCCGCCCCGCCCTGCGCCAGGTAACTAACCCCGCACGCCGCCCGCCTGCGGCCGGTCACCTGCTCTGCAGTCCGGGAGGGCGGGGCCGGCGCCTTTCCAAGCCCACCCTGCACAGGAGCGCAGTCTTTGGCTCTCAGCCCTAGTGGGGAAGGGGGCATCTAGACCCACCTGGAGAAGAGCGCTTTTCAGAAGGCGGGGAAGGCTGTGGCAATTTCTCATTAGGAGGCTGGAGCAGGTGTGGTGCCCACACCCTGCTGTGCCCTTCCCAGAAAAGGGACAAAGCATGGGAAATTAGGTTTCCTTTCTTCCATATCAGTGCTGCTTATGTCCTCGAAATCTGGAGGACAGAGATATCCATGCGAACCGGGTCCCACCGACCCCAGAGAGTTCAGGGTGGTAATGAGGTTAGGCCACTCTCTCAGGCATGGCCCAAACCTGGAGTTGAGCCTTAATAAGGAAGAACATCAGTTACTCTTAAATACTAGAGTAATAAGAGCATGAAAAGACCCTTTTTGCAGATCATTTGTTTCAAGCCCTGGTTTTACAGGTGAGGAAAGTGCTGTGTTCACCTTTATTCATCCAACACTAGTTCAATGTCTACTATGTAGCAGATTTATTAATATATGCTAGGGCCTGAAAATACAGATCTCAGTAAGAGAGGATCCTCACCCTCCAAAAGGAGCACTTCTTTCAGGAGGAAAACAGGCATGTTCTTTTCAAAAACTACAAGATTCGTCCAAGTTCACACCAAAAGTCAACATTAGAACCCACATCATTATACCCCTGTCCATGTGCCTCCTCTTTCCCCATTCCTCCCTATACTAAAGCATGCACACAACCATCTAGGGGATGGTCATGCTGGAAACTCTTACTTGGGGGGGGGGGAGAGCGGGGGAAAGGGCATTTATTGAAACCTTAAAATCTGTACCCCCATAATATGCTGAAATAAAAAAAAATAAAATAAATAAATAAATAAATAAAGCATGCACACTATATTTTTCCAATGTGCTTGCTCCTCCCTGGTTAGCGCTCTAGCCACTTTTAAGAGAAAGTCCAGAAAAAAGCTACTGGAAGAAAAGTGTCTGCTCCACCACAGCATTAGAAATTCTAGCATCTGACCTGCATATGTGCATCTCTTTTCCAAAAATTCTCTTTTCAAACGTCATTGTTCCTGGGAAGAGTTGCACAAATATATGCATCAAGCTTCTCTGGGAAACACTAACCCAAAAGAAAAAAATTGGTCCAAGGTTAAGCACTAATAAAAAATACATTTTTCCTACAAGGAAAACTACAAAACACTGATAAAGAAATTGAAGAGAACACAAACAAATGGAAAGACATCCCATGCTCATGGATCAGAAGAATTAATATTGTTAAAATGACCATACTACCCAAAGCAATCTACAGATTCAGTGCAAACCCTATCAAAATACCAATGACATTCTGCACAGAAATAGAGCAAACAATTCTAAAATTCATGGGGAACCACAAAAGACCTTGAGTAGTCAAAGCAATCCTGAGCAAAAAGAAAAAGCTGGAGGCATCACACTACCTGACTTCAAAATATATTACAAAGCTGTAGTAACCCAAACAGCATGATATTAATATAAAAACAGACACATAGACTGGAACAGAATAGAGAATCCAGAAATAAATCCACATATTTACAGCTGACTGATTTTTGACAAAGGCTCCAAGAATGTACACCGGGGAAAGAACAGTCTCCTCAATAAATGGTGCTGGGAAAACTGGATATCTATATGCAGAAGAATAAAACTAGACACCTGTCTTTCAATATGTACAAAAATCAACTCAAAATGGATTAAACATTTAAACATAAGACTGAAACTATGAAACTACCAGAAGAAAACATTGGTAAAATGCTTCAGGATATTGTTGTGGGCAAAGATTTTTATGACTAAGACCTTAAAAACAAAACCAACAAAATCAAAAATAGACAAATGGGATAATATTAAACTGAAAAGCTTCTGCACAGCAAAGGAAACATCAAAAGAGTGAAGAAACAACCTGCAGAATGGGAGAAAATATTTGCAAATTCTTCATCCAACAAGAGACTAATATCCAGGATATGCAAGGAACTCAACTCAACAGCAAAAAAAAAAAAAAAAAAAAAAATCCAATTTAAAACTTGGCAATGATCTGAATAGACATTTGTCAAAAGAAAATATACAAATGGCCAACAGGTATATGGAAAAAATGCTCAAAATCACTAATCATCAGGGAAATGCAAAATCAAAACCACAATGAGATATCATCTCACTCCATATATAAGAGGAAAGGAAACTCTTATATACTATTGATGGGAATGTAAGCTAGTATAGTCATTATGGAAAAGAGTATGGAGGTTTCTCAAAAAAACTAAAAATAGGCCAGGCATGGTGGCTCATGCCTATAATTCCAGCACTTTGGGAGGCCAAGGCAGGAGGATTGCTTTTAGGCTGGGAGTTTGAGACCAGCCTGAGCAACACAGCCAGACCCTGTCTCTACAAAAATTAAAAAATTAGCACTCTAGCCAGGGCAACAGAGCAAGACTGTGTCTCAAAAAAAAAAAAAAAAATTAGCCGGGCATGCTGTTGCACATCTGTAGTCCTAGCTACTCAGGAGGCTGAGGAAGGAGGATTGCTTGAGCCCAGGAGTTTGAGGTTGCAGTGAGCTATGATGACGCCACTGCACTCTAACCCAGGAAACAAAATGAGACCCTGTCTCAAAAAAAAAAAATACCATATGCTCCAGCAATCCCACTAGTGGGTATTTATCCACAGGAAAGGAAATCAGTATATCAAAGGGATATACCTGCACCCTCCTGTTTATTACAGCACTAGTCACAATAGCCAAGTTGTGGAATCAACCTAAGTGTCCATCAACAAATGAATGGATTAAGAAATGTGTTATATATACACAATGGAATACTTTTCAGCCATATGAAATCCTTTTATCTGCAACAACATGGATGAAACTGGAAGTCATTATGTCAAATGAAATAAGCCAGGCACAGAAAAACAAATATTGAATGTTCTCACTTATATGTGGGAGCTAAAACTGTTGATCTCATGGAAGTAGAGAGTAGAATGATAGTTACCAGAGGCTGGAAATGGGGAGAGGATGAAGAAAGGTTGGTTAATGAGCACAAAAATATAGTGTGATGGAGGGAATAAATTCTAGTATTCAATAGCACAGTAGGGTGACTATAGTCAACAACAATATATTGTAAATTTCAAAATAGCTAGAAGTGAAGATTTGAAATGCTCCTAACACAAAGCTATGATAAATATTCGAGGTGACGAATATCCTGAATACTCTAATTTGATTATTGCATTCACATATCAAAACATCACATGTACTCCATAAATATGTACAATTATTATGTATCAATAAAATTTTCAAATACATTTTATAATTTGCTTTAATAAAGAGATATATAAAACTTTCACCCAAATATTTTTATTTTTGTTAAAAACAAAAAACATCTCAAGAAATATCATTGATGATAATTATACTTTGCTACTGTGGTAAACTCAAATAAGGACCAAGGAGAGGGAAAAAATGAGATGGTAAAGATAAAAAGAAAAAAAAGGAAAGAGGAAGAGAGATATACAAGAAGAAAAAAGAAAAATGATATCAACCCAATGATGGCCAGAGTAATATTGCCCTTTTGGAATCTGAAGAAATGAGATAGAGAAAAGGATCCACTCTGGGAGGAAGCAGCTCTCATCTGTTCACTAAGCCTTCCTTATACCGCATTTTGCTCCAGACCTGCCAAGAGAGAACTAAGCCAGCAGTAGTCTCAAGGATACGAGCACAGAAAAGATAGGTAAATTAAGAACAATGAAAACCAAATTAGCTTGGGTATTTCCATTTCAAAATCTCACCACCTTTGTATTCTCCATAGCTGCAATAACTTTTTTGCATCAGCCTAGCTCACTGCAACCTCAAAAACTCCTGGGCTCAAGCAATCCTCCTGCCTCAGCCTCCTGAGTAGCTGGGACTACAGGCATGCGCCACCATGCCCGGCTAATTTTTTCTTTATATATATTAGTTGGCCAATTATTTCTTTCCAGGCTGGTCTCGAACTTCTGAGCTCAAACAACCTGCCCACCTCGGCCTCCCAGAGTGCTAGGATTACAGGCATGAGCCACCGTGCCCGGCCCATATTGCAGAAGGTGCAATACCTTCTAAGGAAAACTAGAAGCCAAGAAATAATGTTTAGTCTCTTCCTTTCCATCCAGTTGTACTCAGTTTTCCCAGAGCTCGGCCCATCACTCTAACAGAGGTGAGAAGGGGTGTCTGTGTGATAAACACCAAACCCTAGTTTCCCCTGTGACATCTGCGAAAAGAAATATGAGGTATAATAATCCCTAACATTCATATAGTGTGGGAGAAAGCTACAATGTTTTTCAAAACACTTTCAGGCCGGGTGCGGTGGCTCATGCCTGTAATCCTAGCACTCTGGGAGGCCAAGGCAGGCGGATTGCTCGAGATCAAGAGTTCGAAACCAGCCTGAGCAAGAGCAAGACCCTGTCTCTACTAAAAATAGAAAGAAATTAATTGGCCAACTAAAAATATATAGAAAAAATTAGGCGGACATGATGGCACATGCCTGTAGTCCCAGCTACTCAGGAGGCTGAGGCAGGAGGATTGCTTGAGCCCAGGAGTTTGAGGTTGCTGTGAGCTAGGCTGATGCCACGGCACTCACTCTAGCCTGGGCAACAAAGTGAGACTCTGTCTCAAAAAAAAAAAAAATGTTTTCATATCTATGGAATGCCAAGTACTGTTTTTTATTTCTACAACAGTGTTTCTTAATAGAAGAACTAGTTATCAAACTTCACAATAAATACAGAT